CAGTCCATACTTCACTTTAATGACTAATAGGCACCACAAAAACAGTTGGTAAAATGAAAATCGTTGATGTGGTGAATATATTTGTGATGAGAGTTTGTTGGCTCCTCCTATGCTACTCATAGTCAATGCTTCACCACACAACAGGTAGAGAGGTTACGCAACACGGTCACAGATAAGTGAGTAGGTTACATCACACCTCCTGTTCACACGCTCTGATCAAAATAAACCACCCCGCTCACTGACGTCATCAAGATGGCCGCCCAGAGTGACTATCAACTTGCGCTACTGATCGTTATTGTGTTGAAGTGTCGCATTTCATTACTGTTGTTATTGTGATGAATCGTTAAAGTGAACTACATTATGTACTGTATATTATTTCATCCATTGGGGACTAGGGGAACTCAGGTTAGTGATTATTATACAAGGTAGGGAAATTGAAAGATGTGTAATAGTTCATTATATCTCATACTATTCCTGTTCTGGCTATTAAGCATGGAAGCCAACACACACATACATACATACATACATACATACATACATACACACACACACACACACACACACACACACACACACACACACACACACACATACATATATTCTTGATAAGGTACAGGTATCAACACTTAAGTAAGTATGAACAGCTATTGCCCAGCCTCTTGACATCACACACACACACAACCCATAACTTTAGTAAAGTTCCTCACCTAACCCACTCTCAGACCAAACTGAAGTCCCGGTTTCTAAGAGCTCACCTGTAATTCACAGATATTTCACTATCCAGTTACTATGCCTTTTTTAAACTCTATTGGCCTTTCTGTATTGTTAATGGTAATATAAAATAAGGGGCTGAAATACTAGTGCTATGGCACTGGGCACATTGGAGTGTTTCTCTGCCAAGAGGGAGCAGTTGGTGAAATGAATTGTGTAGCAATTTTGTTTGACAGGTTATAAACTCAGACCAAATATCTGTGCCTTCCTATGAGAATGAGTGTGTTATGGGCATGGGCAGTTATGTGTGGGTGGCCCTTGTGCTACAAGACGAATACTGCCTGCTTGAAGTCTGGGTGTAAATTAAGGTTTTACTTCATTTTACATACAGTGAGTTCTGCTATAACGCGTGTTTTGATAACGCGAATTTGCTCTAACGCGATTTATGAATTAGGAACGATATTTGTATAACGCGAACGCTTGTTTGCTATAACGCGATTTTTGCTTACTATTTCTCCAATTTTGTGGTACAGTGGGGTATGCTATAACGAATCTCATTGGTTCTAGAACCTTGTTCGTTATAGCATTCATTCGTTATAGGATTAATCCGTTCCAGGCCCCCAAATACAACCACTTAACACTGAAAAATATAATATAAAATTGTAAAAATTGTAAAAAAGTGCATAAATATGCATCTAAACCCCTGAAATAAAGAATATCATTAATATTTGTAATAAAAAACAATAAATTAGAAAAAAAAAAATTAAATAATGTGAATATAGTAAAGAAGAATATCAACAAGAAGCGTTCTGGTGATAGAATTCCCGGTGATGATCGTAAAAGAAAGGATATAACACTTGAAGAGAAGCTCGATTTTATCAACCTCAAAATCACCCTTCTCCCCCATCAAGTAAAGTGTTACATTTACTGTATGATTTCATTATTAGATATGAATGTAACATTTATTTAGACTGTGCTATCCTTTGTGTTAGGCTAACTACTAAATTTTTTCGATTTCGAGTAATCTGCACCTAACCCTATTTTCTCCATAAGCCCTGTTATTTCTATTACGCGATTTTCTATAACACGATATTTTACAAGAACACAATTATCGCGTTATAGCAGAACTACCTGTAGGTACATTATGACATCTGAAGTAGCTATACCTGTGAAACGTGAAAAAATAAACCTTTTTCCATTTACCTCTTATCTTAGCTTAGTACAGCCCAAGCTTTTGTATTGGCATTTGAAAGTCAGTTACAGTGAATAAAAGATATGAAATAATGTACTGTACAGGTATGAAAATAAATAATAATGTAGACGTAAAGTATAAAATTAATTTGTTAACCAAATTACCTGTGGAATATGAAAAATATTGTGTAATATAATATAGAAGTTTTAAAGAATTTATGGGTTACCCTCTTGCACTATTAATGAAAATAGTTTAGCATACACCACTTGGTAAAATGGCTTAATGCTGTGCCAACCTGTATGGGATCTTAGTTAATAATTTAGAAAGTGTATGAAAACTAATACAGCTACTCCCCTACTTACGACCTATTCGACTTACGACCACCCGCACTTACAACCTGCCTCAGTCAGTACAACCACCCGCACATACGACCGCCGCAGTCGGTACAAATTTTTTTTTCAAATGACACGCGTCTTTTTTAGACTGAAACGTTTCCGTCCCGTACCAGAGCATCGCGTGGCTACAGCACCCACGCAATAGAGCGCTTAGTTGGTGTTTGGCTGTAGTATCCGCAACTGATCGCGCTTTGTACTGTCATTATTTTCGTATCTAATTCACTTTAGAATGACTGGAAAACGTAGAAGTGAGAGTGCTGGTGGTGCTCAGAAGGAAAGGAGACAGTCAATTACTTTTGAGACGAAAATGAAGATAATAATGCAGCATGAAAATGGAAAAACTGTTGCAACCATTTCACGCGACCTAGGCTTCTCGCACTCGACCATATCTACTATTTTGAAGGACAAGGAAAGTATTCGTGAGGTAGTGAAAGGATCAGCACCTATAAAGGGAACTATAATAACGAAGAAAAGACAAGATCCCATTCATGAGATGGAAAAATTACTTGTGATATGGATGGAAGACCAGATACAAAAGCATGTACCCTTAAGCCTTCTGACCCTACAGGCTAAGACAAGAAGCCTTTTCGAAAGCCTGAAGGAGCAGGCAGGAGATGAGTGCCAGCAAACCTTCACAGCAAGTCATGGGTGGTTTAACAGATTTAAGAACTGCTGCAGTTTACATTCTGTAAAGGTGAGTGGAGAGGCAGCTAGTGCTGATGTTGGTGCTGCCGAGGCTTTAAAGGAGGAGCTAGATTGTGTCATCGTGGAGGGAAATTATTTGCCTGATCAAAAATATTCAATGTGGATGAAACTGGATTATTATGGAATCGCATGCCTGAACGGACATACATCCACAAAGAGGCTAAAACAATGCCAGGATTCAAGGACCGAATTACACTTCTGTTGGGGGGAATGTAGCTGGTTTCAAGATAAAGCCCTCAATGATCTATCATTCAGAGAACCCAAGGGCTTATAAACATGTCAGAAAGCACACACTGCCAGTGTTTTATCGAAGTAACAAGAAAGCCTGGATGACCCTAGTACTGTTTGAGGATTGGTTCATGACTTGTTTCATTCCTCGAGCCAAGGAGTATTGTCTGCAACAAGGGATTGCATTCAAGATTTTGTTAATTTTGAATAATGCTCCGGGACATCCACCACACCTGGACGACATGCACCCTGATGTTAAGGTAGTCTACATTCCACCTAACACTACCTCTGTCATCCAACTCGTAGATCAAGATGCTATTGCAGCTTTTAAAGCTAATTATTTATGTGCAACCTTCGCTCAGGCTGTTGCTACTGAAGGTGAGAAAATGCTCAGAGAGTTTTGGAAGGACTACAACATTTTGAAATGTATAAAGAACATAACTGCAGCATGGGATGAAGTTACAGGTCAGTGCATGAATGGAATATGGAAGAAAGTCCTGAAAAGATATGCGAACAGTTTCAGGGGATTTAATGAAGATGAAGTAATTTCTGAGATTAGTAACAAGATAGTGGAGTTGGGTAAACAGCTTGAGTTAGAAATTGATAGTGAAAATGTTGAACAGTTGGTTGAAAGTGTAGCAGAAGAGCTAAGTAACGAAGATCTTATTGAACTGGAAGCACAGAAAAATGCAGAGGAAGAAGAGTCTAAATGTAGAAGAAGAACCTGCACCCCCCTAAAATTTTTCAGTGAAGCAAATGGCAGAGGCATTTGCTACAATTAATAAGGGGATGCAAATGTTTGACGGAATGGATCAAAATGTTGAGCGTTTTGCCAAAGTTGACAGAATGGTCCAAGATGCACTTGCTTGCTACAGGGAGGTTTATAATGAAAAGAAAAAGCAAACTGTGCAGTCTAAATTGGACATCTATTTTAAGAAGTCCCCCATTGTTGTCTCCTTACGCCCCACCAGTGCTGCCTCTTCTCTCCCTAAAGATGATCCAATACCTTCAACCAGCAAGTTTTCCCTGTTCATAAACCTGTCTGAAGAAAGCGACATTGATGACACACCCAGCCCTGTCTCCTCCTCTGCTTCCTCCAATTAATATAGTCTCCATGTACTGTATACCTGTAAATATAAAATTATGGGGGCCCCGTGTGCATTCAGCTGAGTACATTAAAGGTAAGTGCACAGTAACACTGTATCCATTCTTTGTTATTGATTACTTTTACTGTACTGTATTTCATTTTAGATTTTGTGTTATTATTTTTTTGCATTTCCGACCTACGACCTGGATTTGGATCCCTAACCCCGCCGTAAGTCGGGGAGTAGCTGTAGTTAAAAAAATTACAAGAAAAAATAATATAATGTTGCATGGATCTGGGTCATTGTGAGCATTGTGTTACAGCCAGTTTCAGCTGCTTTCCCACTCAGTTTGCATTACACACATTAAAGTTGTGATACTGCCTTTTTTGGTGTGTGTGTACGGTAATTGTCTTTCTTGCATTCAGAGTTTTTCTGATAGTGATTTGCAGTGTAGTGTATCAGGCTAATTTTGTATGACAAAAAGTGTGAAACTGTGGAAAAGGGTGAAAATATGCTGTTTTGTGTATCATATTAGATAGTTCTTTACATTTTTAAAACTGTGACATGCTTTCAAAACAATTTTTTGCTTTTTACGGTACTGTATTTCCCTTCCACAATAGGACCCCAATTTACCCTTGTTGCTTACAAATTAATAAATGTTAAAAGCAAAAATTTTAAATACAGGTTGATGAAGATGATCTGGGAGAGGCTGGAGAGGAAAAGGAAGCGACAGCTCAAGAGGGAGAAAAGAGAGAGAACAGAGAAAGAGGTCAGGGTAAGCGTGATCCCCAGGAAGAAAGTGAGACTCAAATTGTGACTGAGGGAGATACTGTACTCGAGTCCCTCATTCAGCGACCACCAGAGACTTACTTCCACACTCTTATGGCAGATGAAGGTGAGTATTATAAAGCAGTTAAAAATCATTGTGAAAATGTAAGCTTGAGAACCGTTCACTTTGTTTCTTGTAGTTATTAACGGAAATACTAGAGTAAATGAAAAGTAGCACAGTACAGTACTTGCATTCACTGGTTCAATGCATTTTGTAACACATTGTATGCATGTATAATTGAGAGCCCTGTACTAATATTTGTTTTTATATTTCTTTAATAGATGAACAGGAGGAAAAACTTTTTGCCAAATTTGATGAAAATGTTGAGGAAACTAGACGGCAGATTGAAGTAATAAGTACTCAGAGTGAGGATGATGGCACATCTTGGGCACAGCAAGAAGCACGAGTGGCACCTATATCATTACAGTTGTGTGAGCAATTACGGCTTATCCTGGAGCCCACTCAAGCAGCCAGACTACGTGGTGATTATAGAACAGGGAAAAGACTGAACATGAGAAAAGTGATACCTTACATAGCCTCACAGTTCCGCAAAGACAAAATCTGGCTACGTAGGACACAACCTAGTAAGCGAACATATCAAATCTTGGTAGCAGTTGATGATTCTGAATCTATGGCTGAAGCACGTGCAGGTAGCCTTGCCATAGAAAGTGTGGCCCTTGTGACGCGTGCTCTCACACTGTTGGAGGTTGGACAATTGGGCGTCATTAGTTTTGGGGCATCAACTAGAATTATTCACCCCTTTGATCAGCCATTTAGTGAAGCAGCAGGCAGTAAAGTTCTTGCTAGTCTTAAATTTGATCAGAAGGTTACCAACTTTGGTCGTATGTTAGAGGACAGTGTAGCTCTGATGAATGGGTCCCGAGTGACCAGTAGTCATGGTAATCCTGACACTGCTCAGCTGCTGCTCATCCTCAGTGATGGTCAGACACAAACAAGATCAGAAATTGTGAAAGCAGCAGTTAGAACAGCCCGGGCTTCCAGAATATTTATTGTTTTTCTAGTTTTAGATTCAATGGATAATAAATATTCATTTTATGATGTATTAGTGTATGAAAAAGGCCGCATGAAACCACTGGTCGAATCATTTCCTTTCCCATTCTTTTTGGTAGTAAGGGACCTAGCTACACTTCCTTCTGCCCTAGCAACTGCTCTCAGGCAATGGTTTGAACTGGTGACTGCTGATGCAGCTCACTAAATATCTAAAGTAGTGATACTGTACACATTGCAAGTTCAATACATATGAAAAATTATATGTATTGGGTGCATATTACCCCGCGTTAAAAGTTTAATGACTGTATGCTTAAAGAGAGATGTACAGTACTATAGTTTTTTTTAGTTTTTACAGTTTTGTTCTGTGGCCACTTTTATACTCCATTTTTTCAATGATTTAATTGCAGATGCTCTGTAACACTTAAATTTCAAAGTTTCTAGTGACTGAAAAGTTTGTAAATATTTTTTATTTTGATTAAATGAAGAGGAAATGTTTTAAAATTCAGAAGAAATTATGTTTAGAAAAATTATCACTTAGGATTGACATATTCTTACAATTATAATTCACAATAGCTATAATAAATTTATATAAGACAGTAGCTTTAATCTTCCACATGTATGTATCTCAATAATTCATCTTGTATATTTAACATTTTTCTAGATCGTCACAATTTTATTTCATGTTCTTTCATATTGCAGGGACACGTATCTTTTAAGTCCAAAATTTTTTATTTCATCATAAACCAAGGACGATGAAAATAATTTAGACGGTTTACTTTTTAAGTTAGAAGGGGAAGAGGTAAACTGCATAAGAGATGGTTTGAATCTTTACAAAATTGTATTTAGAATATCCCAAAGGTTAGAGACAAGAGATTATTATAAATTGGGAAAAATCGATTGAAAATGAGGCTCTTGCCAACAGATCAACTGATAGTTATGAACCATTCAAAGTTTAGAAATTTTTTTATACAGTTTGACTTAAGTTGGCAGGAGATTTCAGGCACCTCTACAGCTTTAGTAGGAAACAAAAAGTTAAATGAACATTAATCAAGTTTAGGATTATATTTGAGGCCCCGAGTGTGATAAGGTACCAAGCGCCAAGTATTACTATCAAGAAAAACACTCTTAAAGTTTGGAATAATTCAAAATGGCATAACCTTTGAACCAATGAAGATATTGAGTTCATTCAAGTGGCAGTGTGTAGACCACTTAAAGCTGGTTTTGCAGATACTTAAGTCTTTAATTAAAAAGATTGTTTCTAATAACATTGCATTGTTTTTGATGGGTAGTGTTTGCAATTTCATTAATATGCATTGTTGTGGTATAATTTTCATTACAAGGAAGCAATAATGTATTAAGATCACACCATAAAAGCAAACAATACTGGGTACTGTATTACAGGTTGACAACCCTTTATCCGAAATTCCGAAAACCTCTGAAAACCGTTTTTTTTTTTTTTAATGGGATTAGCACACCCAGGCATAGATCACTGATCCACATCGGGGCCCGGGGGGCGAAAATGTAATAGTAATAATAATTATAATAATAATAATAATAATAATTATTCATAGTACAGTAAATAAAATTTTTAATAAAAATACACCAAAATAAAATAATAATAAAATATATTAATAAAATTAATAATAATAACAATAATACCGTAATAATAATATAATAATAATAATAATAAAGAAATACAACAATGAAAAAAAGATCAAAAGTGAGAAACACGACCAATTCCTATGGATTATTATTATTATAATTTTTATTATATTTTCGCTCCCCCTCCCCCAGGCCCCAATGTGGGTCAGTGATCTATGCCCGGGTGGGCTAATACACATTTAAAAAAAAAAAAAAACTAACCATTCTGAAAACCGAAAAATTCCGAAATCCGAAATGCCTCTGGCCCCAAGGATTTCGGATAAAGGATTGTCAACCTGGGGCCAAGCGCCAAAAAGTATAATGAAAAAAATGTGGGCACTTAAGTCTTAATTATTATTAGAAAAATTACAGTAAACAATGACTTGTATTACCTCCCAGCCTTCTCCTCCTCCCTCTGTTCCCCCCTTTAGTGTGATAAGCCTCATCACTCGGACAGGCTGGAACATGACATGCCATGTCCCACCAGCCCTCACTCCCACCCTCCCTTCTGTTTTGTTTATTTTTCTCTCAATGGCCCTCACTCCCTCCTTTCTGCCAGTTGGAAAAAAAATCAATAATTTCTAAGTGTTATTACATAGCATTCCTATGACATTTTTGTAGAAACAGATTCCCATTAGCTAATAAACCAGAAAATAATGAGTCGCTATGAGCGAGAGGGGGTACGATTGGGGGCCGCATGCACTTGTCCCCTTCTCCTCGAGGTGCAGATCACGTACTGTAGATGTGCTTTTACCTACCTTCACTAATAAGGCTCTCAGCCTTACAAATATTGCATTAGCAGGACAGTTAGTGTTTCTGCTGATAGAGGAAAGGTTGGGGAGTACAGATAATACTTTAACTCAATTTGGGAGGGGGGGGGGTATATTCAGAATTTCTATTTCATTATCATCTAGGTGGTGATGAAGTACTTTTGGGGCCATGTTGCTATCCCTTACCATAAATTACTTACCCTCTGCCACCTTATTAATTATCATATATGTGAACCAGTTGCCACATTCTGGTACTGATGAATTTGTAGATACAATATGAATTGCCACATAAAACAAAAGTATAAGAGAGGAAGAATCTTCATTATGAAATGAAGAAAATGGAATTGTTGTCATTTATGATTTCTCTGAAACAGATGGGAGGAAGTTCATAGATATGGTTTCTCCTTGACTTACAACGGGTCATTGCTGTTATATTACATTAAAATATTTTACATTATTTTCGAGTCTAGACGTTTGGTCGTAATGTCTAACGATGCCTTACGACAACTTTGGCTGGCACGTTGGCATGCGTGTACAGCATCCATGTCATATCCCGCTCAGTTTGTGCATTAAAAGGGTAAAAGTTTTACAATTATTACCTGTACTATGTATTATTTTCGTTGATTCGACTTACAGCCTGGTCATCGGAATGGAACCCCGTCGTAAGTGGAGGAAAGTGTATTTAGCAGAACATTGATATACAGTGGGGTATGCTATAATGAATCTAATTGGTTCTAGAACCTTGTTCTTTATAGCATTCGTTCGTTATAGGATTAATCCGTTCCAGGCCCCCAAATACAACCACATAACACTGAAAAATATAATATAAAATTGTAAAAATTTAAAAAAAGTGCATAAATATGCATCTAAACCCCTGAAATAAAGAATATCATTAATACTTGTAATACAAAAACAATAAATTAGTAAGAAAATTTTACCATAGAGACAATGATATAAACAAGGTTATGTTCGTTGGGTATATTTCTGGTCAAAATTTTCTCATGACTTGCCACAAATGTTTCACATACAGCACCGTCACCATCTTGTTTTAGTTTTCAAATAATCTTAGAGCTCTAACCTGCATGGAGAGCAACAAACATGGAAAGTTTTGTTGACATGTTCAGCATTCATTCCATAATCTCACTTCTGTTATGAGTCAACTTTGCAGCAGATAATGGTGTGACACTTTTAGTACATGATTTGATATTTTCTGCATTTCCACAAATTGTTCTTACCTACAGTTGTAGGCTGCAAACCGACAGCTCTCGCTAGGTCCACAGCTCACTGTCCTTCAAATCTCTTTACCACATATAATTTAACTTCCAGTGTAACACTTTTCCTCTTCTTTCTGTGACCACAACCAGTAGTGGTGCATAATGCACATTTAGCACTCATTGTTCTAGGACTCAAATAAATTTATAAATGGGTTTTAAGTGAATGTTGAAAGAGCATCAACCAACCACTGAACAATAACAAACAAATATGGTGCCCACACTGGTTGCTTACACAGCCAGCTGTTATCACAATCGGGCAATGAGCGCCTTCGTGCCGATTTTTTTTAATTGTCGTACATTTATCATTTTCATTTGTAACGACATAACGAAACGACATTGACTGAAATGACATTAATGGGGGAAATGGTGTAATCAGTGATATCTCCATTAACCGGAACAATTGGTGCAGAGCACTTTTGGGAATGAGATTTCCGGGTAATGCGACGACTCTCAAAGTTGGAAAAAAATCCCTCGTCCCCGGAATTTTCCGAGTAGTACCGGGAAAATTTTCTCGGAAGTTCTGGAAATTGTGCATTACATCATATCTTGAACCCGGAAGAAATCTCCCATCCCCAGAATTTTCTTGGAATTTTCCAGAATAATGTATTATTTCATCTCGAAGCTGGAAAAAATCTCCCTTAGGGAAAACCTGCCATTATTTACAGTAAACTTTAAAACTGCATATGCAGAAATCAGCACTATAAACCCTCAGGTACTCCTGGCCATAGTTGGAAATCTCAACCCCCATGATCTTTTCGACGCAAATAACATCATTTACAATCTCACACCCTTGTCTTTCGATGTAGGTTGCGTCAGTAACAGGAACAGTTTTCCATCTTGGTAAATATTGGGTAGGGCGATCCAGACCCAAATTACACCCTTAGAGATGCATCTGCCAGCCCACGAGGCTAGTGGGAGGAACTTGCAGTTGATAGGGCCGATTCACTATTCCCGCGTTTCTGCTCACGGAAGGGTGCTCTCAGTGTAAGATATGGCTGAGCAGGAGGGGTCGCGCCAGTACTGGAGAATTAAGACTCTCAGCTGGAGATAATATATCATCCTCAGCTGGAGATAATATACTGGTCTCTCAGCTGGAGATAATATACTGGTCTTCAGTTGGAGATAATATACCGTCTTCAGCTGGATATAATATACCGGTCTTCGAAGCTGAGATAATATACCGGTCTCAGCTGGATATAATATACCGGTCTTCAGCTGGAGATAATATACCGGTCTTCAGCTGGATATAATATACCGGTCTTCAGCTGGATATAATATACCGGTCTTCAGCTGAGATAATTATACCGGTCTTCAGCTGGTAGATAATATACTGGTTCCTCAGCTGAGATAATATACCGGTCTCTTCAGCTGATATAATACCGGTTCTCAGCTGGAGATAATATACCGGTCTCAGCTGGATATAATATACCGGTCTTCGCCGGGATATAATATACCGGCTCCCTCAGCTGGAGATAATATACCGGTCTCTCAGCTGGATATAATATATCGTGGTCTTCAGCTGGAGATAAGGCACTAGTTCTCAGCTGGAGATAATATACTGGTCTCTCGAAGGAGATAATATACTGAATTTTCAGCTGATATAATATAATGGCCTTCTTCGCCGAGATAATATACTGGTCTTCAGCTGGATATAATATACCGTCTTCAGCTGGTGATAATATACCTGGTCTCTCAGCTGAGATAATATAACTTGGCTCCTCAAAGGAGATAATATACTGGTCTTCAGCTGGAGATATTATATTGGTTCCTCAGCTGGAGATAATATACGGGTCTTCAGCTGGAGATAATATATTGGGTCTCAGCTGGAGATAATATAATGGTCTTCAGCTGGAGATAGCAATACGTAACTGAACGAAGTGGCTACCGA